TTATATTTCCATACTCTGAATGGGGTAGGACAAAAATATTGGAGATTAATTGGAAATTTCTACTGTTGAACTATCCAAAACTGCTCTTTAATGTTATCAGTGAAAGATTTGCTCTCAGTATATGGTATATCAGACAGTATTCTTACATCCCCTTCCTATTTCAGCAGGTCACTGGCCAACAAGACACCCATTATGTTGACGGGCCTTACACGTAGGAGTCTTGGATGATTTTGACTCTTGAAATCTTCTCCTCGTGTGAGCCGTGTAATCGTCAGTGGAACAATTCTGGGAAGTTTGTATTTTCCTGTTCAATTCTCCCCGGAACACCCCGTCATTTTCGTTCCGTAGACTGAGACGAAGGTCAAGGCTGACTTTAATGTTCATGATTATGAAAAAACCATCCTGAACCATGGTCGTTTTTCCAAGTCTTTGGGTACGTTAAGGTTGAAGTCTTTTATTTTGGTAGCTGGACTGCGTTTCGGCTTCCCATGCCCTTTTCTGACTGGTTAGGTAATTTAATGGGTGAATTGAACGGCCAGTTGACCGACCGATTTCCCCAAAGCAGCTTCACTGTTCCAATGTTATCATGGTTACGCTCGGTCATTTTTAGCCCTGTTGTTGTTGGGGGGACCCAGTCACTTACACAATTTTGGTGGACGACATTTGCACTTGAGAAGGCTATGCTGGGAGACCCAAGTTCGTCAAAAAAGTATAACACCGTCGATATTATGGTGGGACTAAGATTTAACATGTACTCACTGGTGTTGATGTTTGTTCCATCAACACATATGTTTTCGAGGACCCTCTTATTTGCTTCACTGTACGTCTTTATTTGTTTAGCCGCTTCAGAACGGCTTTTTTTACAGGGCTTCCGACAATTTTTCCACAACCTTGTCAGGATATCACAGGTGACGACGAAATGGTATCGTGGCTATGGTGGAATATAAGTTGTTAACAAACCCTATCAAGTGTTAAAGATCGTAAAAAAAACAATATAACCCAAAAGAATAAAGGAAGACGATAAAAACGAGTAGTATAAAACGTTAAGATGTACTAAGACCAGCTTTGATGTGAAAATCATAAAAGGTGAATGGTAAGCTGAGATAAAAACCACAGTTAACTATTAGAAGAGGAGAAAGGTAATCTACCGAGATTTAGGCTCATAACGAATATTTTGTGTCAAATATCGTATTTTTGTTGCGTAAGATCACAGGAAAGGTTTGGGAAGCTGAAATCACGTTAAGACGACTTTCCGATCGTAAACAGTTGAAAATGAGTGGGTCCGCCCTAACCACTATATCATATGTCTGTTAATTCATTCTTATGTTACATTTAGCCTTATGTCCTATGAAGGGTCTTCAAAAATGCCTTTTTTTCTCCAAGCCTGCTGTTCTTGGGCAACGATGACGCATAAAGTCTTGTAGCGTGGTGTCGAGTTTAAATTGACTATGAACGCCAATACAAGGAAACGCGTACCAAACAAATCAGAAGGCGTAGGTTGAACGTAACCAGATTTATTTCGTTGGCGATCTCGTGGTATCGAACGAATACCAAGATCGTGCCAAGAAATCGTACAAGCGAAAGCAGGAGAATGGAGTACTTGCGAACAAAGGCAAAAACCGCGGAACAATGATGGAAGGTAATGGAAGCACAAAATGGCTGTAATTGGCACAGTTAAACAAAAGCACATTAAAACAAGCACTGGTACAGTTGCTTATAATAATAATTGTTTTCATTAAACCAGTCGTGTTCTCGTGATAAAAGTGAGTCACTACAGTCTTTAGAAGGGTCAAAAACAATTGACACAAAACTGGTGGTTACGCCCGACTAAATTAGCAAATCGCGTCAAATACTTATCTTTCATTTCCTATCTACTATTTGATATATGTTCAGAGAAGAAATAGATGCGTTTTTGAATTGGAGTACATGACAGCGATACCTTTGGAATGTCTGCTTTAACTCTCCCCCTGTTTTTGTCCTGTGTCACTAGGAGTAAACAATTACACAAGCTACCAATCTGTAGTGACTCACGCTTATCACGAGAACACGACTGGTTTATTAAAAACAATTATTATTATAACCAACTGTACCAGTGTTTGTTTTAATGTGCTTTTGTTTGACTGTGCTAATGACAGCTATTTTGTGCTTCCATTCTTTTACTTACACTTTGATTGTAACTTCGCGCGAATTCGGTTACCTTCTGTAACCAAGGTTGTATCCTGGCACGATCTCGGTATCCTTGCGATGCCACGAGATCGCCAGCTAATAAACCTCGACTTGGTCCATTAATTGCCTTCTGGTATTCGGCTTCTCGGGGATTTTATGGAGTCATTTGGAACGAGCTTCTTACGCCTTCTGATCTATTTGACAAGTGTTTCTTGGTAGCGGTGTTCACAGTTAATCTCAACTCGACGCCACGCTACAAATCAAACAATCAAAGACTGGTTGTAAGATCTGGAATGAGTGCAATCATGTATAAAAAGTCTTTATCAAGCGAAAACATTTGAATCCAGCAGAACTTTAAGGTACCTACACCGGAATCTCTTTTCGAAGTGTTTTTGAAACAACTAAAAAGGACGTTATAGACCCAGTCTCTTTGTGACAAGCCTATATAAACCAACTGACAGCATCGATATGATTCCGGAGCCTTGTTGATGTCATATGTGCGGTAGTCTAGCCACTCATCTTACTTACTTACCTACTTCTGTTACTCCTCATGAAAGAGCATAGGCCGCTCACCAGCATTCTCCATTCAACCCTGTCCTGGGCAATCCTTTCCAGCTATTCCCAGTTTTTATTCATTTTTTTCATGTCTGCTTATGTTTCCCGACGTAGTATGTTCTTTGGCCTTCCTCTTTTCCTCTTCCTTTCAGGATTCCAAGTTGGGGCTTGCCTCGTGATGCAGTTTGTTGATTTTCGTAATGTAACCACTCAGCAGCACTAATTTTAATCACTTTGATAGGTTTTTTGTGGGATGTTGAAGTCGTCAGCTGTCACAATCTAAGGCACCGTAAAAAATATAAGGAAAATTCGTATACCAAGAGATACGATTGTCTCACCAGGTAAATAAATAGGCCATCTAATTATTAAAACAAGCATTGTAGATAGACTGAAGTGTAAGAATCAAATAAGTTACGACGATGGTTACAAGTTAGACTGAAATAAGTTAACGGTATGTGGTGATGATAATAGTAAACAGGTTACGAAGCATGGATCAGAGACAACTGGTCAGGATGAGGGATGATAATCAGTGGGCGACTATGCGTTTGTCGGGTCCTCTCTTGAAATATAATGTTACTTTTGGCCGTCCTAACAATCGACTTCACGAGTATTCAATCCGCAAGCCCCATGTTCACGAGAGTATGAGTTTGTCTCCGTCGCGACTGATGCAGCTATCACTGGGGTAGTTAATCGAGATAGCTAGACCATGCCATGTTGGCCAGATATCAGTGATATGTCACACGATGGGCCAAACATTGGACTTGTCCGGACACTTGACCGGATGACTTCAGCTCGTGGTGTGTCCGGTAAACTTAGTATGGTCAGTACCAGTTTCAGGTTCTCACACAGCCACTAATGTTAATTATTTACCGCTACATAGGCACAAAGCTAGCACTCCACAGACTCCGAGAGTATGGTATCTATTTCAGCAATCAAGAACTGTAAATAAAGTTTTATTTACCCCAACCTTTCTGTCACAATAAAGATATTCATCGTATTTGTGTGGTGAAACATGGGTTTATGGTTAGGTTGAATTATTCCCTATCACCAATAAATCACCTCACATCCTAAGCACTTATATATTACAACTGATATGTAATTCTTAAGTGCTTTTTTTAACGGACTCTCTAATGCTTTCTTAAACCAGAAGCCATGATGGCTCATTTGACTTAGTAAACTCCTAATATCAAAACAGTAACAGACAAAGAAGCCCTGTAGAACTGGATGGATAACTACCAGCATGTAGTCAATCTGTCTATCCGTATGACCGACATGCAACGCACAACCACAATTTAAGTGTAAGACAAATAAGGAAACGTAATTCTGTTTACCATGCCAAAACTTAAGGCGACTAAGTGCATGAAAAGCCACTTACGTTGGCTTAGGATTCCCGAAGTTCGTTTTCATTACAATCTAAGTATTTCAATGTAGTCAAGTGAGAAGTCAGAAATGAATTTGTCCGAAGATATATTCGGAAGATTATCGATATATAGGATAGCGTTTCATCTAAGCTGGCTATCGGCTGTAGGAGATGTGTGGCATAATGTACCTACTTGTGATCTGGTGTGGATGAGTGACCGAGCCCCTTCAGCCAGGGTGTGTTCGGCAAAAATAATATGGCCAGCATCAATGAAGAAGAATTAAAGAACTATTTATTTTAGGGGTTTATTTATTTCTACAGTTCACTCATACCCTTGTGGGGTAGTGATGACTCCAATACATGGTTAACCAGGCGTTTAAATCGACGAGTTTGTCTATGGTAGGCATTCTTCTGATTGCTTGCTACGTTCGGCAGCATCCGATCGTCTTTAAATGATACAGTGACCCATGTAACACAATATATCACCGAAAAAATGTACAGTGAAGATATACATTGATTGTATTCTTCGCCATTTTTTTCATATTTTCTGTCTGTCCTGGAAAATAAAGAAGTGAAAGTGCAGGATCATGTCGAAAAACACTCGTATGTGCGTAAGGGTGCAAAACGTGCAAAAAATTTGGTATTCCTGCGTACAAATAATAATACATGAAAGTACTAAACAGACAGCGTAAACCGTATCAGGGGAGGGTTGGTTTACCTTTAGAACAAGTCAACCGTCTACACCTTATCAAAAATACTAGGATAGTTGGTGTATATTGGTGCTTCCCATTATCTAAAACTCATACATTCAACTAAGATGTTCGTCCAGCTAATTTGTAATAAGAATACCGGCTATTAGAGAAATATCGCCTCTGACATCTTTTCCACACTCAAACTTGTTTAATTGTGCTAGATACTCACAACAAGCAACTGACGTTTTTAAAAGCATAGAAACCCTTATCATGAGCGAACTAATACGACTAATCATTCAAAAGCTGAATGACGAGCCATTTAACAGGAGTTTTAACCTAATATCTTTCGATTCGCTTGAACCTGTCCGTCTTCTACAGGTTCTGAATGATGTTCTTAGCGAAATAGATAATAAAGTACTGGGAATTTTCATATTATTAAAGTTTTTATGCAGCATAAAATCGATATCAGGGAGGAGCCTCCTGATAAGATGGCTGTCAGAATGTTTGAAGCTTTTAGGGTGTTTAGGTATAAATTACCAACCGATCCAGAAAAGCTGTAAGTATATAAATAGGTCTGTTATATTTTTAAAAAAAGGAGCTTATTTCGCCAGGGTTTAGTGACTGGAGATAAAATTATCATATACCCTATTTTGGAGTGGCTTCTCACTAGAATGTCTGAGTTGAAAAAGCGTGCATATTTAGCCCAATATCTTGTTAAAGTCAGTATTCCCGTGGATTTTATGCAGGATGAGGAAATAGCAGGACTTTATCAACAAGTAAGCTGGATAAAAAATTTTTCTAATGCAGCTGAAGTATGAAAACTCGATTGAAAACTTCAAAGAATCTCATAAAAAGTTTGAAAGCGTTAAAAATGGCGGACTTACGACTGCAGAAGTGAAGAAAGATATTTCCGCGATGCAAGAAGAAAAGGAACAGTTACTCAGACGAGTAGAAAGAATGAAAAAGAAGGTGAGCTGGAAAATATAACTGTTATAATTGAAGAAAACTGTCACGTTCCTATTTAGTTCGTTAATGATGTGCATGCTGCTAATATTTTTGTGCAGATTTATTCTCTGTCTATTAATTTAGCCCATATTCAGTCTTCAGTCTTCAGTAATAAGGATAGTAGGTTGGTGAACCTGTGTTAATCCTGACAGATTGTCTTCCAGTGAAGGTCCAGCTCCCATTTGAAAAGACCATTCACTGATTTTGTTCCCACGCGCTGAACACGCTCAAGTGAGTTAGTATCCTTTACCAGACATGGGCTAGCTGCTTAGATGCAGTACTTTGAATGTGGTCTTACATAGGTGGGATGTAAAATTCGAATCGTTTCCTCGTCAAAGCATTTGAATGCTCGGTGAGGTGACCATATCGCAGAAAAACCTTTGACAGCAGCTGCGTTGCAATGCATAGTTGTTTTCAAGTCATAGCTTATTATTACTCCTAAGTCTTTATGTTCTTGAACGCATGGAAGAGTTTTACCATCAATAGTATAATGTTAACTATTACCGTGACCGATGTGCATTAGCACACTCTTCCTAGAATTAATTTCTAAACCCCAACCTCGGTCCCATCTAATTAATTCGTTTAAGTCAACTTGGAGATCTAAATGATCAGCCTCACTTTTTATTGTTCTCCAGATTTCTACGTTATCCGCAAACAATAATGTCGACGACCTAAGCAATAGCAGTAACTCGTCAACGTAGAGAAGGAAGAGCAGAGGGCCGAAGATGGTGCCTTTGGGTACACTACTTTTGACCGGCTTCTAATGGGATAGCGTTCCATTGACCCTCGCTCTCAGTCTGTAGTCACATAAGAAGCTTCCAATCCACTCCTGTACAGTACCTATTATTCCGAAGCTCGTGAGCTTCTGCATAATACCCAAGTGTGAAACCTTGTCAAAAGCTTTGCTAAAATCTGTGAATATCACATCGATAGACAGGCCTTTACCTAAGGCTGCTGTCCAATCCTCTCTCGTAATAAGTAAGTTAGTCAAGCATAAACGCCGGTTACGAAATCCGTGTTGCTCAGGAGCTAACAGATTGTGTAAATCTTTGTGGCTTAGCAACCTAACCTGAATTATCTTTTCAAGTAACTTAACGACTATGCTGGTTAGACTGACAGGCCGATAGTTAGATACGATCTGTCTCTGACCATCCTGAAATATAGGACTGACTATAGCGTCTTTTCAATCTCTTGGGAGTTGAGCGAGTGAAAGGGACATGCTGAAGAGTCTCCCGAGAGGTTTTGATATAATGTCCGCAAGAGATGACAGCAGCCGTGGATGTAACCTGTCAGATCCCGGTATCTTACCAGGTTTGAGGTTAGTTATCAATGGAAGGACAGTTTCCTCAGTCACCAGTGTGGCAGTCTAACATATCAAAAATTAGCAAATTAAGGCAAAAGATAATCGAACGACGTTGCTTCCTTCTGGGTTCCGACTTGGATTTTATTTGCGGTTAAAACTATATACGTATGTATGAAATACTTTACAAACCTAAGAGGTTTGTTATTTACTGATAACAATAATGAGGATCTCATGGTCATTCGAAATAGATAAAATGCATGTACTATGGTAGCAAACTTTAAGTCTTCACCAAATTTTAGCGTGTAGAGTTTGATCTCATCTTTTAGTTTATTGAAGCTATGTAGATCCGAGTCAACCATCCCAATCTTTGCACTCAAAAAACGCTTTAAATATTCGAGTTCTTTTATCCAACAAATAATATCAAATAAGCGATCTTACTAGTTGTTCTCATCCCTTATTTACTCTTCATAACTCTCTTCATATACCTGCTTCGCCATCTGGATATTTAAAGTGATCATATGCACACTTCACTTTTTATTACCTTGATGGTTATTCCAACTATTTTTGGAATCAGGAACTTAGTAGATAACCAGTTAGCGTTTAACACAGTAGGTGATAGGTTCTATTGTTATTGTGAAGGCAGGCTGTTGAACATAGATCAATCTTCCTCACTATTCAGTCTTCAGTGATAATAATCTAAGCATTTCTTTGTCAAAATGCTGGAGAAAACCCATGACTAGCCCATAATATCCTGTAGTTTTTGGCAGAAACAACCTTGTAGTTACTTGTAGTTTTGAGGTCGCTGCTTATCGTGACTCCAAAGTCTTTATAGTCTATTACTTTGGGTAACGCAACTCCACGTATTATGTAGTGATATGGATCATCATAACTATTTAATTGCATCACCACTCTTGTTATAATTTACTTCTAGTGATCATCCACCCATCCATGCTACTAATGAGTAATCTTGTAATACTATTCTATCTGATATACTTTGTATGGATCTCCAAATCCTTATGTTATCGGCGAAGAATAGAACGGATGACTTTGATACAGTTGGTAATTTATTGACATAAAGTAAAAAGAGAAGAGGACCGAGGGTTGTACCTTGAGTAGCTCCACGTTGTACGGGTTTCCATGATGAGACAGCTCCATTTACACTTACTCTTTGTCTTCTGTTATTGAGAAAGCCACTTATCCAGTCTATGATCTTATAATGTATTTCAAAACTTTCCTGTTTTAATTTAAGACCTAAATGAGAGACCTTATCAGAGGCTTTACTCAGGTATATGAAAATTACATCTACAGGAATATTTCGATCTTTTGCTGTAGTCCAATCTTCTCTTGCAATAAACAGGTTTGTCAAGAATGATAGGCCCTTCCGAAAACCATGTTTTTCCCCGGATAAAAGATTATGCCCTTCACGTTGTTTATAACAGTCATCCGAATAATCTTTCCAATTAGTTTTACGAGTACACTAATTAGACTAACAGGTCGATAGTTACTAACTGAATTTTTACTCTCAGCATTATACACCTGACTAATTATCGCGTCTCTCCGGTCTCTTGGCAGTTTTAGCTGCCACAGAGACATATCAAAAAGCATGGTTATAGGTTCAGCAATTACATCCGATAGAGCCTTCATAATTCTGAGGTGAATATCGCCAGGACCACTGGACTTATGAAGTTTGAAATGCTGAAGTAGTCTTAAGACAACACCTTTCCCAATAACTACAGGATCCTCCAACAAGCCGCTCCAATCACAATTAATTGTTGGTCACTCCTCATTGCTAATAGAAAACACTTTGCTGAAATATTCCGATAAGGCTTCAGCCTTTTCGGCATCACCTCTTGCCAATATTAACTGGTTTTCTGGTACCAAAGGTGATGGAATTCCGATTTCGCCTTTTTATATGAGAGAATAACGGTTTCGGACTATATTTAGAATTCCTAACCAATTGTTTTTCATATGATCGTCTAGTCTTGCTTATTAACGCTTCATACGCATTCCTAATCTTACAATAACTGGATCTGTATTGTTCTAAGCCAGTAGAGATGAACATATTCCAATGCTTTTCCCTACGTCTGGTTATGGCATTACTTAGACCTAGTTATTGACATCAAATGGTGACTTCATAACTAATAATAAATGTTTCCACGGTTGCTTCTTGAATCTGATTTAAGAACTAAATCTCAATAAGATTGTCCAATAAACAAAATCACTCGCTTGAAATACTTAACATTATTTCTGGTATGAATTACTTTTTCTTCTGTTAATAATGCTGTGAGTAAATACAAGTTCATTTCCATAGCTGGAAGCTTTTCCTACCAGTAATACAATGCTAGAAATGGCGAAAAGGTTGCGGCTAGAGCGAGAAAAGGAGACCAAAATATCTAAACAAATGAGAGAACAGAAGTCACTAGTGAGTTTTAATTACTGGTACAGTTTTTTACTGTAATAATTTTAAAATTGTCTCTATTAAATCAATATTCTTTGAGCATGCTGAATTCTTCAAGATGAACAGTTGCAAATCTTGTATTTTCCTTTCGGACGACATCATCAGTGTCAACGTCTAGTTGAAGCTTAGCATTCACCTAAACTACAAGTCACCTCTACCATATCAAGTCAGCCTTAATTGATGAAACAATAACTGCTTCTCTGATGATATATTAAAGTATTCTTATGAATTTCATCCAATACCACTTGAATTTTACATACTTACTTACTAACTTGCTTAATTAATTAATTAATTGATTATGCCTGTTACTCCTCGTGAAGGAGCATAGGCCGCTCACCAGCACTCGCCATCCAACCCGGTCCTGGGCAATCCTTTCCAGCTCTTCCCAGTTGTTATTCATTTTTTCATGTCTGCTTATATTTCCCGACGTAATATGTTCTTTGGCCTTCCTCTTTTCCTCTTCCCTTCACGATTCCAAGTTAGGGCTGGGTGACATTTATTTGCTTCATTCTAAATAAAAATGTTCAAGATATGAAGAAAGGTAGATTTTGAGCGTTTTAGCTAGTGGATTTGTTGATTTGATGAGACTATTAGAGTGACTGAAGTGGATAAACTGTTAATTTTGATCGGGGAATACATTTCCAAATATTAACCCTACAGGTTTTAGATAACAGTGTTAAAGCTTTTATTTGTTTGTTGTCTGTGGAAATTGAATTTACAATACGGCACTTCTGTATATTCTATCAGCTTAATGTGCTCAATTTTCACTTATTCTGAGCCATATTCTATTGGGTATTTGAATGCTGATTAATAATCTACTCCAATCTATCCATCAGTCTTAAGGATAACAACGATATAAAGAATAGTTTAATTGAAAAGTGATTCAGTGTAATGAAAACAAAAAGCAACTATTACTGTACTCAGAGACAAATCGAATTTGACAACTCATTCCCTTTGGATATATAACACTTTGGATTACCTAGAGAGTATCTTGAGGTTAAATTACTACTGTAGAAGTCCTTTGCATTAAACTAGTCGAAAGTTAACGGGTATCAACTATATTACTGCCATATTCATATCAATTTATTTGTCTGTTACAACAACCACAATGATGGAATAAAAATGCGTGTGATTCGAAATATCTTCATTTCATGGAAATAAATTTGGTTACCGATAAAACTTATCGACTTCTGGCTGATTCAAAACTGCTGTGAATTGAAATATGTGCAATCACGTGACAACAAACACCCTTATACGGTTGTTTAATCAGGAACTAGATATCGATGAGTAAATTCGTATTGAAACAGATATACACTCAGATGAACACATTGGCGGTATGAAATTATCATATTAAATATGAGGCACAAGGACGACGACTATTTCTACCAACCAACTAATCAAAATTTAGTCTGGAAAAATCAAATGTATGCCAGTGATACACAAATCATTTCTTAACCTGCATTGTAAACAATTGGGCTGGATCTTTATCAAATTTTCCAGGGCTATAGTTAAGAAGGAAGTTGTCAAATTTTCTCCAAACCGTCAAGAAAGCTCTTTTCCACTACCTAATTGCATCACTTCTCAACTCGAATTCAACTCAAACCGTTTCTGTCTTTCACTTTACTGTAACTTGTCAAGGATTATTCGAAAGATTGACATGACACAAACACATGGTGAGAAGTAAACAAAAAAATATTAGCGAAAGAAAACCACCTAATTATCAGAGCTCGTTCGTTAGTTCTGCCCGTGTCATTAATATTACTGTCAGATCTCAAATAGACTATAGCCTACCAGTATTTAGCGTACATCAGTTTATGTGCAACACTGAAACTTTGTATTTCCTACTACTTCATCCGGTTTTACAGTAAAATAAACTGAGAAATGTAGCATTGTGTTAATTGTGTCCCAAAAATTAAGTACAAAAGTCACAAAATTAATTTTATTGATCTACACTACTTACAATTTATATAAGTAACTACCAATAAATATTGTTTTTCTTATTAAATGAAAATAAATTAATTTGATAAGACTGTATAGTTTTTGAATCCATTTATCTAATATCATCCTTCTGCCCTTATTTCACAAAAACAACCAGATGAGGTCAATGAAGCGATATCTTTTAAATGTGTTCTATGCATTTCACTGAAATCATGAACTAATCAGTGTTAGACCACCATTGAAAACCCGGGATCACTGGATGGCTGTTTCGTCCTAATATGGGACTTCACAACAGTGCTGATTCATGAGCCGGCACTCGGGACTTGAACTCAGGACCAGCGACCCCACGCCAACGCTTAGCCTTTAGACTGCTGAGCCAGTATGCAACGGTATTAAGATCTAACTCCAGTCAATCCGCGATATTGCTCAACTATTATCCATCGTCTCTGGTCGGTAATTGCTTCACACTCGACAAGGTTGAATACTGAAATTAAAAATATCTGGCTACAAAAATGCGTCTATTATCTCGACGTAAAATTAAATGTTTTCATAAAGATCTGCCTATTAGTAACCTGTATAATTTATATTTTCGTAATACGATACGATTTTAAGGGAACCATTAAAGAATCTATACTATCTACTTGTTTTTATCAGTCTACTAGTAGAATATTGCAAATTGTGCATGAATTGTTATTGTCTGATGACCAAACTAGAGTATGATAACATAGCGGAACACAATAAAAATGTTGACTGGTGTAGGAATAGGTTGGGAATGAAGAAGAAAAGATTGAATTAGGACGTTATCAGTTCATGAAATTATTGGCCGTTGGATTGAGACATATTAGTATGTTTAGATGACCTGATTGAAGTCCTATATGATCAGTTGTTGAAGACATTTACGGAACATAGTTCAGAATCGAAACCTCTTAATACTTTTTTCCACACCTATTCTTCTCTATTATTATTATTATTATTATTATTATTATTATTATTTATATTATTATGATTATTACTGATTCTATTACTACCTTCAGAAATTTGAGATATGTCTTGATAATTTTATTTTGCTCTGTTAACGTGCTGTTCCAAACCAGACCGACGCATATATGTGTCAAGTCCAATGTCGCGAATGACTAAATGACTGATTCTCTGAATTCATCCTTTCTTTTTAAACCATATACTCTAATATCAAATCTTTATTCCTCCTACTGATACCACTATCATTTCAACTCTTTCCAAATCATTACAAGATATCCTCAGTGATGTATTGGTTATGCTATTTATTAATGCGTCAATACAAAGAATAAGTTACGTTGTTTTCCCATTTTCAAGTGTATTTACCTATTCAATTACCTCTGTAGTTGATCAGACATTTTCTAGTAGTATCTGTCTAGTGAAATATTGTTATTAAACTTTTATATTTTATTCGTAATTACCTTCAAGATTGCGAATACAGATCAACGTATTCAAATCACTCAACAACAACTGAAAGAATTAAGAAAAACTACAACTAATTCGACAGCAACAGGTAGGAATTTATGAAAATATGATACTATTTTTATTACATTCTGATAATTCAACTGTTTTGTACAAGATGATTCTTTCACATTCAATATATAAATAATGAAATTTACTGCTGTTAAGATCCTATGAGTGATTGTAGATCGGTAAAAGGTTTAAATGGAATAAACAAAACTTTAACAGGTTAAATGATAATGGTAATTGTTATTAGTGAGTAAATTTAGAAAATGTAAAAATATTGCAAGATATGCATTCTCAAATACAAAACTATGTAGAATAAAATTCATGATATCAGCATATTTAAGTTACGATAAAGACAGAATTCAGTTTCCATCTTATGGTTAGCTATCCATCTACAAATGGTTTAGGTAGTTGCTTTTGTTTAAACAGATTCAGTAAACAATTTTTGATTGAGATCATGAACTGATTGATGTTAGACCACCATTGAAAACCTGGAAGCACTGGACGGCCGTTTCGTCCTATTGTGGGACTCCTCAGCAGTGCGCATCCACGATCCCGCTCGCGGTCCAGTGCTTCCAGGTTTTCAATGGTGGTCTAATATCAATCGGTTCATGATCTCAATCAAAAACTTAACAATCTCCACAATCCCTAAACTGATAATTACCATGCGCTCATTAGTGACTAGCTTTGCGAGTAAATTCTCGGAGTTCTGGTGAGAAGCCGTGACCAGTGGAGCTAATCCGTGTCGGGTAGAAACAGGTGTCTACCTCAGTACAATGGGAGATGGTCGAGCAATTTCGTGGATTGGCTGAAGTTAGATATTAACACCATCTGATGCCGACTCAGTGGTTCAGTAGACTAAGCGTTTGCGCGCGAGACTGAATGCCCTAGGTTGAAATACTGCGAGTGAGATCGTGAATGCGCACTGCTGAGGAGTCCCACAATAGGATGAAACGGCCGTCCAGTGCATCCAGGTTTTCAATGGTGATCTTACATCAATCGGTTCATGATCTCAATCAAAAACTTAAGAATCTCCACAACCCCTAATCAGTAAACAATTGTAAGATCAATTTACCGTTTAGTTGATGAGTTAAATATTCAAGAACTATTGTGAACTCACATTTGTAAGAACAAGATGGATTTTTTTTCGCTTATACTTGTTGTAGTCAAACATTAATCATATATAATATACGTTGCTCATCAAGAATAAGTGATTTGGAAGGGTGAAAGCTTCACGACCAAACCATTCAGCTCAGAGAATAAAACTCCATCAAAAAGTGACCGTACAAGAAAGCTTATCTTTCATGCATATGAAAAACAGATCTTAGTTTGTAATAGTTTGTTGAGGCTTATCTGCGTTAAGTATTCTCTGAATTTTTTCAGACAGATAATTCTTAAGTACATCAGATAAATGATCACTTTTGAATTCCAAGACTAATCAAAATGCTTCTTAAAAACAAAATCTTTGAATTTTTTTAATTCCTAGTATCTCTCATATTTTTATCAAGGAAATGACTATCGTATTTATTTTTAGTTACTTTCAAATATCTGGGTGTTTATTCACAAAAGACACATTCAACACCTATAATCACTTAAGAAGATTTAAAACTTCAGTGAATGATTGATAAAAAATTATCACATAATTTTTTCATAGAAATGATCTGATATCTTGAGTATCCAACGTCCTATACTCATTTTTCTTCAACAACAATGTAATAGACCTATACAAATCATATGGACATGATAAATGTTCACTTATCTATGTAAAATGAAATGTTTACTTCATTGTTTAATGATGAACTTACCTGAGAAAATAGTCAATATCATACGGAATTCCTACGATGGATTAAACTGCAAAATCGTGAGTGGAGGAAAATTGACAGACTCTTTCAAGGTAAAGACCGGTGTTAGGCAAGGTCGCTTACTCTCACCCTTTCCCTTTCTACTGGTGATCGACTTGATCATGAAGACGTTAATATCTGAGTGGAAGCATGGGATACAATGGATAGCTAGAATGTAGCTGGACGATCTAAACTTCGCAGATGATCTGGCTCTTCTGTCGCACACGCAACAACTAATGCAGGAGAAGACGACCAGTGTAGCAGCAGCCTCAGTAGCAACAGTAGGTCTCAACATACATAAAGGGAAAAGCAGGATTCTCCGTTACAACACAGCATGCACCAATCCAGTCACAGTTGACGGAGAAGACTTGGAAGATGTAAAAACCTTTACATATCTGGGCAGCATGCATTGATGAACAGGGTGGATCTGATGCAGATGTGAAGGCGCGGATCGGCAAAGCAAGAGCAGCATATCTACAACTGAAGAATATCTGGAACTCAAAACAACAGTCCATAAGCCAACACCAAAGTCAGAATTTACAATACAAATGTCAAGACGGTTCTACTGTATTGGGCGGAAATCTGGAGAACTACGAAAGCCATCATCCAGAAAATACAAGTGTTTATTAACAGTTATGGGAGAGAATAAACGAGATTTCAATGGAGGAAGAAATCAAGAAGAAACGCCGGAAGTGGATAGGACACACATTGAGGAAAGCACCCAACTGAGTCACAAGACAAGCCCTCACATGGAATCCTCAAGGTCAAAGGAAAAGAGAAAAACCAAAGAACACATTACGTCGAGAAATGGAAATAGACATGAGAAAAATATACAAAAATTGCATAGAACTGGAAGGGAAGGCCGAGGATAGAGTAGGCTGGAGAATGCTGGTCAGTGGCCTATACTCCATTGGGAGTAATAGGTGTAAATAATAATAATAAATTAGTAATGAACTTATCCAACATCAATTTTAAACTACATTTACATATACTGACCATAATTTGTTTTGTTTAATTCAAGTTTAGTAAACAAAATTGATTAGAATAATTAAGTTCAAAAGTTCACTTAGATGAAAACAAAACAAACAAACACAGAATTAATTTTATCTTGTTAGTTAACAAAATGAATAAATATGTAATATTAATGAATGGACAATGATGTATAGTACAATTCTGTATTTAATTAATTCCTTCTTTTTAGGTATCAATGTCAAGGTTGAACTTGATAATTTCAAACAGATTGAACATTTGGTAGAGGAGAGTTAATCATAAATATACTACTTGTTATATTTCAATGAGTAGAAAAGATGTATTTCTGATGTTTCGTAACTTGATGTAAATCACTTCTCCAGAGTAAATAAATAACCGACAATTAGATTTGTAGTGAACGGAACACCAGTGGGGGCAATCGAATGTATCTGAGCACAAATTTTACAGAGCATCACACTAAAATCTGAGAATCATCTAGCAAAATATCAATTCATCGTCTCAAACTCCACTGTTCCTTTTGGAAATATCAGTTCAGTGTCTTAGATTTAATTGTTCATGCATTTTCATACCAATTACGTTCCATTCTAGTTCTTTCGTTATCGATCTTGCACTAAAATACATTCTATGCCCGACCAGCGTTATATACTACTTAAGTGGATATAATTAACTCATACCACACAAGTTTAAATAGTAAAAAAAGGAAACAATACAGAATATTTTTGGTACAATCAAAATCATAATAGATCTGAATATGTCAATATTAAGTTATTCTTAATCAATGTGAATTTGTGTGAGCTGTCACAGTATATCAGAGTATTCTGTATTATTTCTTTGTATATTATTTTAAACTTATGCTAATTTAATTGTCGGTTATTTATTTACTCTGAAGAAGTGGTTTATATTAAGTCACGAAACATCAGAAATACAATTTTTCTGTTCATTGGCGCAACTTCGTGGATTGGTTGAATTTGGACATTAACACTGTTGGATGCAGGCCAGCTCAGTGGTCTAGTTGGTTAGGCGCCTATCGCAAGACTAATAGGTCCTGGGTTCGAATCTCACGGGGAGCGGGATCGTGGATGCACACTGCTGAGGAGTCCCGTACTAGGAAGAAACGGCCGTCCAGTACTCCCAGGTTTTCCATGGTGTTCTAGCTTCAATTGACTCATGATTTCAATCAGTGAAATTTCTAAAATCTCTACAAACCATTCTGATCATTGTGCTTTAGCAAAAACACATATTAATTATTAATTCCTTCTTTCCTTTTTTATTATTAACGATTACTGTTCGTTGTGTGTAGAAATGAATATTACTAATTTATATTTAATATTTTTGGTTTGTAATGTAATAAACGAATGTAGTTGATCTGATACTGATCATAACAGTTTTTCATAAGTAGACAGTTTATCATGTTTTTGTGTGTGGGCTGAGATACTGCCTGGGTGCCCAAACCGAAGCAGGTAGTTTTCTTAGGGGTCCACACCCCGTGCCTTCGACCTAAAGGTCTGATCCACAAAGCAATGGAGCATCGTAAGGAGATGCAGTCCCATGGTAGCCGGTGACCAAGGAATTGGTTCATACGCCATTTGTTCCCGCAGGATACTGGAGCCCATGTGCACCATTGATTTGGGATCCGGTTAAAGCGCCGGACATTCGCTTTTCGTTCTCTCATTTTCGTAAACAACACCCCGTCACGAGAAGGCAGTGAGTAGGACTTCGCTGGCAGAGGCTGTATACGCGTGGCCGTGTGAGAGTATTTCGAGTGGGAGGGCAAACCCGCCCCGCTCTCGGCCATACCAGGGCATTTATAAGCTTGTTAGTATAGACTTCAAATAGAATGAAACATTTTAGAATTTATTAATAATTGCCAAAATCAATCAATTTTAATGACTTGGTTTATGATTAGTTATTAGCAAAAAATGTTTGTATTTTTATTGATTAATTTTCTTTCATTGATCTGTGATCATGTGATTGTATGATCTTTGCATCCATAAGTTGGTAGATCACTTTTTATGCTGATCTTTTAGTTAACTGTCAATTCATCTGAGTATCCAGAATATTTTGAATTACCATAATGCTAATTTATTATTACAACTTCAATCTACTGGTAAGACTATAATTTTTGGATGAGCTTTGAGCCACGCTAGACTGGTCTTGAGAGTGTCCACCTAATAACTAGGACTAAATGAGGGTTATAAAACCATTTGAGGAATTCGAATTATGATTTACAGTTGATGGTTTAGGTTAAGAATTACATTTAGGGTTTTCATCATGAACTGACATAAGCTATAATGTCAAGACTCTATTTAGCCAAATCAATGAGTGAATTTCATGCCAAAATCTGAGACCTGTTATCTTATACCTGATTGGTTCGTCCATAAATTATAGTCTAGACCAAACGTATTTAACATAATGGTAGATGAGAACACTAATGCACTTAACGACAACACAGTATCTGAAAGCAACCAATCACACACAAGGTTATCATTTGTTAAATAATATCGTATTACTCATTTCCCTGTGATGTAACTGTTAACGATGCTGTTTCAAATGAAAATGAAAGCTTTACAATCAGATCATTCATCAGGGTTACACAATTTCGATTACTTTTTGTTATTCTGAACATACAGTACTCTGAATACCACTCTTATTTATATTAACTTCAATCTAAACTAATTTCTTTTTGCTTGATTTATTAATTTCTTATATCAAGTAAATATCATCCTGCATTGTCTTATTCCTGGTTTTACTAAGAATGAGGTCATTCTAGAGAATTCTGAATAGTTAACAATTGCCGAAATTGTGTGATATTGTACTTTCATGTTATTAGATCTGTATTAAATAAAGTTATATGAAATACAACTTCAAAAGTGTAAATGCCTATAACAAGATTTCCAGGAAATTTACGCAAAGTATGTATATCATCATAGTTCATTTAGAAAATTACAGTAGATATGACTTATCTAACAAAAAAAATCCAGTCACTCAAATTTAAGTCATCCATTTATATACGCTGAGGTAAATAATGGAACACAAGTACTAAAAGTAATACTATCTACGAAGGAGCATATTTTTGTATACGTATCATAATAAGTAAATTGTGGACCAATTTTTCAGTAGATAATTTCAAAGTTGCATAACTGAATATCACTAATATTTAATGTTGCAGTAAACATTTTGCCTAAGTTAATTTGATAAAAGTTCCATTATCTAAATGAGTTATCTACGAAGATTATTGATCTTACTTGTACTATGACGTTAATAAGCCGCTTTATGTGTATGAATTCAATAGTGTATACACAATTCATTACGGAAATACAACGTGATATATTCTTTTTCACGTCACTTTACAAAGATACTGATATATTCCCATGAGAATAATGAATGGTAACTGTTGTAATCTATTTTTGAACTAATACTATACATATATTTTTATCGTGTAATTTTTAAGTAACTAAACTTTGCATAGTCATGTTCCTCTTATTATAAGCTTTATTTTGACTCATAGACTATTATGATACGATTCACCGTTCTTAAGTTATGTCTATTATGTCTATTCATTACAGTCTCCCACATTCACAGCCACTTTGGGCAAGATCTTGTACAAATGTTATTTTCTATTTTATGGTTTGATGTGGCCTGTTTTGTTTATATATAAACCCAGTATGCTTGAAATACATGATTCATATCGCGGAGGCTGAGATTTGGGTTCGGAACTCAACAGGTAGGGCTAGACAGGAATAACGACTGATAAGGACTCTAGACTGCTCGTACGGGTTTAGACATCATTGGTTCGTCGGTAAATCACTGTTCTCTAATTGGCGATATCATTGCGTTATATATTAATAGGGCATAAGGCAATAAGTTAAAACAGATTCCTGTTCTATGAACCGGTCAAATGAAGAGAAAGGAAATAAGATATATATGAAATCACTTAAAATAATGCTTAATAGTGGCAAGCAAATTTTTGTGGTATATATAAATCATGCATACAGGAATGTAATGGTCATACAATATCATTGGAATATCACGTTATTTTTTTAAGTAATAATTATGGATTTCCACTTTTCTGAAATTATTCATTTAGCTGAACAGTTCAAAATAAAAATGAACTTGTTTTTTTTGTGTGTGTTTCATTTTGATTAACTTACGGTATTCTTGAAGAATATAAATAACGGAGATTATTATTGGAATATCACGTTTCAGAAGGAGTTTTGTGGATATTATAGTAATTTTAATAGTTGAGATTATGAGTCAATGGGACGAAACAGTCTTCCAGTGCTTCCAAGTTTTCCATAGTGCTCTAGCTTCAACTGACTCTAAACTATTGAAATTACTATAATATCCACAAAAACACCTTATGATACTGATCAATATATGCTCACTAGTGACTGGCTTCAAGAGGGATTTCCTAGAATTCTAGTGGGAAGCAGTGAACAATGGAGATCGACCGGACCACTGAAGACAATGGTGGATGCGTCGCTCAATTTCGTGGATTAATTGAAGTTGGACATTAACACCGTTGGATACCGGCTTAGTGGTTTAGAAGTTAAACGTTCGCTCTCGAGACTGATAGGTCCTGTGTTCGAGTCCCAAGTGGCGGGATTGTCGGCGCGCACTGCTGAGGAGTCCCATACTAGGACGAATCGACCGTACAGTACTTCGAGGTTTTCCTTGGTGGTCTAAATCATGATCTCAGTTATTAAAATTAGAATGTCACGTTATTTATTTAATAAATAATAAAGTATAGATTTTCAATTTTCCTCTATAAAATATTCATTTGTTTTAGCTAGAAAAAGCATTTAACACATGTACTTCACATTTTTTTTGTTTGTTTATTTGTTATTTACATTATTTAAGTTCCTTTCCTTCTCAACTATTTTTGTATAAATCATTTAGCATTAATACAACGTGTTGAGGAAGAAACAAAAGTTAATCAATATATGCTATCTGAAAAATTGCCTAAAGAATTATTAAATATAAAGACCTATATTGAAAATGTAACAAAAGTTGTTTCACAACCAGCTATGAATCAATCTTTTCTTGATCAACTTAATCAACAAGTAATTATTGTGATTATATATCATTTTTGTATTGCTTTTCTTGAATCTTTCTATTGATGTTTAAGATTGTAGTCGACCAATCTCATATTGGCATATGTGTATTCTGTGCGGATTGTTTCGATATTGTTCTAAATCACAAGCATTATAAGTAAAGATGGATGGTGGCTAAGAGTGGAATCCAGGTTACGCGTTTCGTCCTATTTGTGATTCATTAGCTGAGTGTACCTGAATTCCAGAGTTGATGTTTATTCCAGGACTTGAAATCAATAGCATTTACTTCAAATACCATTACTTTATCCACTTAGCTGATGAGTCCATATAACCATCAACTCTGGGATTCAGGTACACCTAGCTGACAAGTCCCAAGTAGGACGAAATGCATGTCATGGATTCAACTGCTAGACACTATTCAAATATTGTCATCGTTTTGTTGTTTAATTCTAAAAGCCGTAACAGATTTCAAATTCCCATAATGCAAAAATAATCAAATATTGTAGGCTAAAATAAATTAATTTCATTTTGTATGCTCTAAATCTTACACATATTCACTGATTTATATAATTAAAAATAATGTTTTACAAATGTCATTTTGGAGTGTAACCAACATGTACAAAGTGATTTGGTTCATTGGTTAAAAGAATAATATGAATGTACAAAACGAGGGCTTTCTATACCCATTTCTCAACATTATACTATGTGGCTTTCGAAAAGCGTTTATAAACCAATCAATGGTTTAACTTTGATATTTCATGTTAACTCTGATCCCTTGGCCCCACTAGAGACATCCTTCAAAATTATCTATGCAATTAAACGATTTGATTTGAGAGAAGCATGAACTAATCAATTGTACACTCTAGAGGTGTCTTTTCAAATCTGAGCTATAATCGTAACAGTGATAAGGTGCAAGCCATTATTCTACCATTCCCCTTATCCAGTAACTTGGTCGTTGAGAGATCCTTCTGATGTTTTCAATTTCATTTGTTCGTTATCATTGTTTTCTTATTTTCAATCTATTCTTCATCTTTCTTATATACGTCAAGTTGACTACTAACATTCGTACATTTGATTTCATCTTATTATTTCCCATTAAACCCTCGATTGTTACGTAATTTTATTTAGACACCCGAAGTGATGTAATCCTCCTTCAATTTTTAAATACACTACTTTATTTATTAATTAGCCATAAATATGACTATATAACTTGAGTGAATAACATCATTGGAAGGAAAATTTTCCCTCCTATAGTATATTTAATTCTTGTTCAGTGACATCATGAATTACTTTAGTCAATTATAATTACGTTCCTTAAACATAAAAGATCAATATATATAGGTAAACAGAGTAAGCGCATATGTGCAAGAAAGAAATCATGATGCGAACATGTGCAGCAAATATGTGAAAATTGCTTACATGAAATAAAGTTGAAATGATTTTATAGATGTTACACACAAAATGGAATGAATTCAATTCATTCATTCTTGTCTTATAAACATTTATCAAAGGAACTAACTGGATGAAATTGCAAATTGTTGATCCTATGAATAATCTAAATATCGAAGTCTAAACATTTATCCAATGTTTTTTTAACAAGTGATAATACTTGATACTAGTAGGAGTCTCAGCGATTAATATATATTGTTTGGATGTTTATACTAACCCCTTAATGTGTTACAAATAGAAAAGTTGAACTTAGAATAGAAGGAACCTGACATTTGCATGATACATGGTAGAACATTAAAACTAATAGTAACTCACTGATGACAATGGTGGACGGTGGTGCAATTTCGTGGATTAGTTGAAGTTAGACATTAACATCGTTGGATGCAGGCCAGCTCAGTGGTCTAGTTGGTTAAGCTCCTGGTGCGAGACTGATAGGTCCTGGGTTCGAATCTCGTGAGGTGGGGTTGTGGATGCGAACTGCTGAGGAGTCCCGTACTAGGAAGAAACGGCTATCCAGTGCTCCCAGGTTTTCCATGGTGTTCTAGCTTCAACTGACTCATTATCTCAACTATTGAAATTACTAAAATGTCCACAAAGCCCCTTCTGATACTAAGCAGATAAAGACTTTATTTACACTCCGAAAAACATAAAAAATACTTATGAATCAACTTCATTAATTCACATACAGATTTAACTTATATTTCATATGCATATACAAATTGAGCTACATCTGTGGCGTACTATCACTCAACTAAACCAAAAAATGAGTGAACACTCCTCTATATGGTTTGGTAAGAGTCAGACGAAGACAATACGTGGCTCCATTTTACCAAAATTGATTACTTTGGTTGTATGATAGGTAAAAACAAATTATTTAGAATGACCTATCATACACTTTAGTCGTTTCTTAACAAGTTCGGCCTCATCTTCTAATCCAATTCATTGTTATCAATGACTAACAAAATACCTTGATTAATTTAGTATATTTCTAACATATTCATGCAATATTACTGTATATTAGAGTAAAGCCTGAAGATCTAATTGAAAACAATATTATTTACTTATTTATTGTTATAATCTGATGATTATTCAATAAATATAACATATACTTGTTAGAATAGGAATATATAATGGGTCTTACACTGAAATAATACAAACAAACGCTAAATGGCCACAGTGGACACAATTCACAATCAATTAATATGAGAAAAAAGGTTATATGGCACAAATATCACACGAAATTAGAAATTAAACGAATTGTCATCTGTAAAATTAAACATAATCTAGTGTTTTATACCATCTTAACAAAACTGACTATGTTCAGATTTTGTTTCTTTCAAAATTTACAAAGGATCTTGTGATTAATTGAGATCATGAACTGATCAACGTTAGACCACCATTAAAAACCTAGAAGTACTGGAAGCACTAATGACTAGCTTCAAGATGGATTTCCTGGAGTTCTAGTGTAAAGTCATGACTGGTGGAGTCCATCAGTGTCTGTTTTGATGCAGTTATTCACTGATGACAATGGAAGAGCCACGCGATATCGCGGAATGATTGAAGTTGGACAATAATACCGTTCGATACCCGCTCAGTGGTTTAGAGATTAAGCGTTAGCGTGAGGCCGAAGGTCGTGCGTTTGATTCCAAAATATGTGATCGTGGACACACAATGCTGAAGAGCCCCCTATCAGGACGAAACGGCCGTTTAGTGCTTCTAGATTTTCAATGGTGGTCTAACATTGATCTGTTCATGATGCCAATTAAAAAATTAGCAATCTCCTGTACCGATTTCGTCATTACTATCGAGCAATTAGTACTTACATATGTTCTACGCGACTAAGACTTGTAAACGAAAAAAGATCTTCAGTATCTCGTCAACCTTTCAATAAGCGATGAAAATTTATTGTTTGTTGCTTATCAAAACAAGCAAAATCAGTGTAAAGTAACAACCTGCTTGGACAGTCCTGATATTATTGGTTGTTTGTATCTTCCCACTGATGTTTAGGACTGAGATTGATCAATCTATTTTGGTGTATGTGCAAGCTGTGAGAATTTCCTTGATTTTGTCATTAAGTCACAAGCATTTTAAGCGAAGACCGTAGATACAAACAACCAATTTATACTAACTAAAGTTCACCCTGTCGCGCAAGTCAGTGGCCATCTGGACTCAGTAGCTATAACGTCTGAGGTGAATAGTAGTTGATTCCAGTCCCGAAAGGGACATCAACTCTGGGATAGAACTACATCCAGCTAACGTATCCTAAGTTGGACAAAACTCTCATCCTGGATTTCACTGCTACCCACTATCCATCTATGCTTAATATCTTTGCATAATAAATGAAATATATAAGATTTGTCGCACTTTTGTAAACTGCTTAGTTTATGATTATTTGGAAATGATCAAATAACTGATGATCTCAATGTCAACTGTTTCAATAGCATTTCATCATGTTGTTACCGAAATTCATCAAAACGTTCTTGACAGATATCGTCTGAGAGATGTGAAATTCTTACGAAAACTTACATTGACTCTAGTTATATTTCAGTCAGTTAATTATATATATATATATAATTTATTACTGGTTGACAATGTACAATAGTTTCATACATTTTTCTTAATCTTAATTGATAATTTTTGAATAGATATTATTCTTTTCCTTTCAAATGACACTTCCCTTTTTTCAATAGTTGAAACCATGAGTCAATTGAAGTTAGACCACCATGAAAAACCTGGAAGTACTGGACGGCCGTTTCTTCCTAGTGTGGGACTTTTCAGCAGTGCGCATCTACGATATCAGCTCACTGAAGACAATGGTGGACGGTGGCACAATTTCGTGGATTGGTTGAAGTTAAACATTAACACCGTTGGATGTCGGCTCAGTGGTCTAGAAGTTAAACGTTCACTCTCGAGACTGATAAGTCCTGTGATTCGAATCCCACGAGGCGGGATCGTGGATGCGCATTGCTGAGGAGTCCCACAATAGGACGAAACGGCTGACCAGTGCTTCCAGGTTTTCTATGGTGACCTACCTTCGATTGACTCATGATTTCAACTATTGAAATTACTACGATCTTTACAAAACCCTTTCTGATACTTTTCTTTTTGTTTATATAGACTACATACAATAAAAAGAAATAGGAACTTTATTGATCCTCTTCTAAGCTGTCATTTGTTGTCCAGTTACAATATTAGTGTATATACTAATGTTTCCAATTGATTAACCTCTGTTAGTTAATAGCTTCATAAAGTATAGTTATTGTATTTCTTTCAAGGATAAGAGATTAACTTATCTTGTAGGAAGATTTTGATAAAAACTAAACAATTCATCAATTTATGTTTTATAAATAAGTGATTAAACCAATCGAATTCTATTTTCCTTTTTTCTTTTTAAACATATACAATTTGAAAGTTTCCTAACCTTTATAACTATATAGCTGAATAATCGATTGTTTCTTGTTTATACAATATTATCAATCTTCTTTTTTCCTATTCGATGAGTCAGTTTGTTTTCTTTGAATGAATTCAGTTTTATGTTTCCAATTACTATGTAGAAAATA